ATAAGTAAGCTACAACATGTTAAGACTTTACAATCCCTCTGCCCGTTGACAGAATCCAGAAAAGCTCAGGAGAGTGGAATGAATCATGGAGGTTGAACTCAGCACTTGCACTTGGCTCAAGGCCCCACCGCAGTTAAAAGCCTTTTCATATCATCTGCCTCAGCAGCGTTAGTCAGCCTGGTTTGTTTCTGACCTGACAAAAAAGCATTCAGTATTCAGCGAGGGGTTGGTACTGCTTTGTGTTGTTTTGTTTGCGTTGTCATAGCGATTTCACCAAGAGCTCATACGAAGGTCTGCTTGGCATCTCGTGGTTTCCAGCCGCCTGATTGATGTACTAAAATGTGGGGTCAAACCACGACAACCGCTGGTCTACCTCTGTTCAAGTGGTCTTAATTGAGATGTGTGGCTTGGAGGAAAATGAGTACTTGCCATTTGGTCCACTCCCAATGACTGGATTCCAATTAATTCTCATCTCTCTTCCTCTTTAATCTTCAAATAGTTTGTGCGAGGTGTTGCCAGTGTGCACACATCAAAGGGAAGACCACTCTTGACAATAAAATAATAAATAATGTACTTTATGGCTTCTGCTTGTGCTAGCCCAGCAGGTTGTAGTGGACTGTACTGTCTATTGTTCTCCTTACAGATTCCTCCCATTCTGCCAGGTAAAATGTGTATTTCTGATGAGCTTTACAGGTTGAATGGGTGCAGCCTTGTGTCTTTGTGATGTCATTGTGTGTGGCCCAAGTCTTTTCCATATAAGGTCTTCTATCTTAAGTATGCCCTTCACAAACATGACATGCATCTCAAAGGCCTTCAGTCTTCACCACAAGACACTTCCTGTAACATGACTTCTTAAAAGCGAAAAAACTACAGCCGTCTTCCTTACTTCATCATTTCACAGAAGGCAGGAAGTTATGCCAGCGTGGAACATGATTAGTATCCCACTCGTGCTTAGGTGTTATTTTAATAATGTTACCTTACCTAAAATGTGTTTTGTGTTCTCCTCCCATAAAGAGTTTTCTGTGAGATTTGAAAGTTTGACAAAACACTGTAAATCAGTGGTTTAAAAATACACCATTGATCTGTTGATGAGAAATTCCAATTTAAGGAGTTTTGGCAGCAGCTTCCTCTGGAGAGGGACTGTGTGTCATAAATTTAGCTGTTCAACTATTTAACAATGCTGCTTTCTCTCCAAACAGACCCTGGTCTCTTATTCCCCCTATAATAACTTTCAAAGAATCCCTTGTTTTTCTTTATTAATTTACTGCCATAATAAAAATAAATTGATAACTGAGTAACAGTCCTTGGAATAAACCAGATTGATTACCTCTGCCAAGGAGGTCATGTCTTCGGTTAGGTTTGGTTTGTCGGTCTATTTTTCAGCAGAATTACAGCAAAGCTACTTGCCAAAATGTCCTCAAACTTTGTATAAGATTGAATCAAGGAAGAAACCACTACATTTGGGAGTAGATCCCAATCACAGGGCGGTTATATGCATGGGAATGGCTTTGGCGGAAGTCTGCGCTCTCTGTGCCTTTCCAGTTGTATTTTCTTATTTGCTTTTATGACTGTATTTGATTATGGCTGTTAAACAGATGGATTGAAGACACATGGAAGCAATGGACCCTTAATTTCTAGGCTTCTGCTTTACTGCTGTACAAAATCCCTCTGAATTTCTCCAAATCTCTTAAGAATCTGGTGAAGATAAAGTTCTTCTACAAAGACATTTAAACAAGCAATAAATTAACAGGCTTTTGAGCAAGTAACATCACAATCTCCAGTGTACTCAAAGATTTGCTATAATCCCTCAGATGGATCTGCCAAGTGTTGCGAATATGTGTATTTATACTTAATTTGTAGGAGCTGAGGGACTTACATGTGTAGTTTGGAGGAAACGGTCATTACCAGTAACTACACAGCAGTAAAATCAGCAGTGTGGAGAAGACCACAGCAGCCACACCATTATGTGGCTGTAAACCTATTCATGAGGCGCAGTTGGAAAGACACTTCATTCATTCGAAAACATCCTACTCATCAGCCAATTTCACATAAAATCCTTGAAATTAACGTTTATTTGATGTAGAAAGGTTAAAAATAGCAAGATGTTTTTTTTTTCTCAAATTCTGATCAATTGCACAACTTATAATGTGTTGTGGTTGACAGTGTTTGGCGAAAATCTGTTGCTAAAACATCCAGTTCTCCTGAGAGAGCTGGAGTAGCACAGCCCAAGTTCCAGTTCATTACTTATCTGCTCTCCGTCACGAGTGCCTCAGACCTCTCTTGATTTATATTTATAGACTGGATGCCAGGGATTCCTGCTGCAACATCTATTTGTTTTGTATGCATGTGAGAAAGACAGTGTTTGACTGAAAGAAGTTGGGATTCATAAAGTGCCCTCTGTTCACCGCAGACTAAAGCATAAAACCTTGTTAACCACATATGAAAACACATTTGTCTTCTGAGAATTTTACAACAGTCTACTCCTCTCTCCATGTCTTGAACATATTGTTTGAGGAATTTCCATACATGGAGTTGTATAGTATTGTCTTTTCTCACATCCCTACAAGGAGAGAACTTCAAATCTCCCTTTTCCCTCTCTCTCTTCCTCTCTAAAGAACGCTCACAGGCCCACAGAGAGGGAGACATGACGTCTCAGGGACACGTTCATTCAGCAGATTTTGTTCTGCTATAGACCTCAGGGGATGTCTAGTAGAGTATAACATGGCCAGCAGATGCCAGTGATCTCTGAAGAGTGCTTACTCTCTTTATTAGCTTCTGCCTTGAAGAGCAATGACTTCTTTTATTTATAGTAAATGAGTCAAGACAGACTCATGTGGCAGGTGTGTGTGTGAACCGGACTCTGAGTGAGTCAGTGGAAGCTGTGTTCAGGCCTGTGAAGTGATAACGCTGCCCTTTGTGAGTAACACTTAGCATGTGGCTGCTCTATAGGCTGGTATGCATACATCAGCCTCAGCTATGCATTCTACACTTCCCGCTACTGATCTACTTGATAATGAAAAAAGGAAAGCGCTGCTCCAGAGAAAATGTGTTGCTCGCTGCCACTGTCACTTCCTCATTCTTTCTCCCCCCTCCCACCCACTCTCTCCCCCCCTATGTTATAATGAGGGTAACACAATGGCACATTCTTTATGTCTCATTGGCTCCTTTTTTTTTGAAATGCAAGGGGAAATCCTTTTGGAGTTACCTAACCTGAATGCATTCTTAAGCAGTGGGGAAAGGGAAGATCTTGTTTTTCATTTATCAGCCTAATCAGGGCTGGCTGGCACTTATAAATAACCACTCCCAAGTGTGTGTGACTGAACAATCGAAGGTCTTTTGCATGTATTTAAATGTAATTGGTTCATAGAAATGTATCGCAGAAAGCACTTGGGGGGCATTAAACTCATTTCTGACTCACATTTAAGTTCCAATTTTATGTTCAACACTCAATAGAGTTGATGGATAAAATCAATATCCAGCCATCATGCTTAACACCCTCTTCATTATTCTGTTCTGTCTCTCAGCACACTCACATCTCTCCTCAGCTCCATGTCCCTATTTCTAAGAGTTTTTTTCACACTGCTGACAGATCACATACAGATATGATCCTAACAAAGGCAGTATCATTTAATAAGTACACACAGTTCAGTCTTGTTCTTGCATGATTTCAGGTGTTGAGTGTGTGAGTGATTGATAGGATGCGCTCAGCCTTACGTAATTCGCTGTTCCATCACCACACCTGGCAGATAGTCATCCTATCGTCATGGTTATATTGCTTTACTTCCTGTGTGTTGAATGCAAGTCTCAGCATGGTGGAAAGAGAGAGTAGAAAACCCAATAAACGTCAACCTTATTCTACTCCCTGGTGGATATACCGTTGTACAGTAGAGCTTTAAGGGGAGATAAAGCAGGTCAATCGGGTAAATATTTAAACTGACAGATACCATCATGACACTTCCTCAGTTAATTATTCCTGTAAGGCGATTGTTTTTTATATTGTATTGTGTGTTCTACTTTACAAGGAAAACCTGCTTGAGAGAAAACAACCTGTCACCAGCAAAATTCAATATTCGAGATTTCAAGGTTTTAATGTCATATGTACATAAGCTACAGTGTAGAAATGACAATGAAAGTCTTATGACCCAAGCTCCTCCAACGATGCAACATATTTAATAAAATACAGAAATACAAATAAAAAATAGTGCAAGAAGTCTATATACACGTAAATAGAATATGATACAAGAACAGAATGTAAAATTAAATATTGTACAGTAAAATGAAAACCACCTCCCAGAAAACAAAAAAAAAGCAACTCCCAGAACCACACTCACAGATAAAGTACACAGCACAGAAAACCCTAAAGTAGTTTATAATCTCTAAAGACACTCATTTTTATCTGACAGAGGTTGAAAGCTGCAAAACGGATAAAATACTTAACCATCATCACCTGATGCTGTGATCATTGGCCGGGCTGTTCTTTCAAAGTATTCAACACGTCGTCTACATGTTCTTGAAATGAAACATTTCATATTTTTAACAATCACAATTTCCTTTTAATTTAATAATACTTGAAACTAAAATATATTGCGCTTATTCAATCATTTGGTAAAGTGAGTCAGCATTTAGTTTTTTTTAAATCTTGTGTCGGTGGATGTGTTATCCTGTCCGAGGCCGAGCGATGTTGTGATGTTTTGAAGGGAATAAGATGTGTATCTTATCTGAAGTTACATAAGACAGGAAACGGAAAGGACAGCACATTGCTTGGTAATTACAAGAAATAAATAATCAAAATGTGCGTACACAGCCTTGTTTTGATCAAATGCCTTTTATTTATTTACTATTAATTCTCTCAAACTGTGCATTCAAACCCTACAGTTTCCTACAATCTTAATAAAGAACAAGGGGTAGAGTTGATAAGTAAATGCTGTGGAAATAATCATATTTGTTTGGTCATGAGCTTCTTATTTAAATTAATCCAATGTATTGTTTTCTCATTGCAGCTTAATGATGGAGGCAAGGCAGCTCAAGCCAACATGACGGTCGGAGACATCATCATGTCCATTAACGGCATTTCCGCGGACCGCATGAATCACCTAGAGGCCCAGAACAAGATTAAGGCCTGCACGGGCAATCTCAGCCTCACTCTGCAGAGGTAACAGTTGCACACATGAGCACACACTTTCTGCAGCATAATCTATGGATTTCCTCTCTCAGCAGTGGAATGCATACTTTGTTGATTTTGCCCACCAGTGTGTATTTAAGCCTGTTTGAAGAACATATAGGAGTCAAGAGTTTCCATACTGTATGCATTTGAAGCTACTTTTAACAGGATAGTGAACAGACACAAAGAAAACTTTAACTGGCCCTCTGAAGATTAATTGCCATGTCTGGTTTATTTGTACTTTTTATTATTTAAAAGCAGATGACAGTTTCTGCCACAACATATGCCATGTCCCGGAGTCCTTTCTGAGGTTTCAAATGGTTTAAAAGACTTAATTATGATTGATATTTCTTGCATGATTTATGTAATAGTACATTGTCAAGAAAGCATGGTATTGACATTTCTGTGATTCCCATGCAAAGTAAATCTTAAGGCAAATCAATTGCACATTTTACAGTGTAAAATCACAGTTTAGAGGTATGCAAATCAAAATACTTGAGGTTTGCGTTCCAGTTAAATTGTTGGCCCAAAATTCTTCCTTGGATCTCCACGTTAGAGCGTGTACTCACAGCGAGAGATTCTTAATGAATAGTTTACACATGTTCTTTCTGGCTGTGTAGGTCATGGCAGAGAATCTGTAAAAGTCTTCAGTTTGAGTTTGATCGTGCTGAGTTCATCAACTGCTTCTCTTAAGAGACAAAAGGAAGACCCTGGTATTCTGAGGCCCTTGAGTATATTAAACCTTAGCACAGCGCCCGGAGCACTTTAAATGTAAGCCCCCTTAAAATAGCGCTCTGTAAAGCCGTAATATATGCTTCAAAGAAAAGACAACACAGAATTCAACTGAGGGTTTCATTTTATTTGTCCACCAAGGAACATTTTCTCTCCAAACAACTTTTATAGTCTATGTAGTGAAAGGTCAGGACGCCTTGAGTGCGTTTTGTAGACAAATAAATAGCTTATATTTACTTTTTAAGGACAGCACTGCCTATCCAAGATCAGTTCTCTCATCTCAGAGCTTCTTATATGGACGAGCAAAAGTCAAAAGGATTGTGATCCTTTTCATTGAAGCTTAGCGTACATGTTCTGCAGCCAAGCGTAGAGAAGAGTAACTTTAGTGGCAGAAACAAACAAAGGCAAAGCATGCACACTCTCAGAGCTGTAAACCATGTTGACAGAAAAACTCAAAGACTAGTTTGCATGTTCCATCACCACATCAAAGGAGTACTATTACTGTGTGCTGTAATCGTGGGAAAATAATCCTAAAATAACCCTGTCCCACAGCTGTATGTAATCCACTGTGGGTAATGGCTTCACAATGAAACATCAAACATTGGGGTCTCACAGGACATGTAAACTACGAGAAAAAACACCCAATAAACAACAAAGGTTTCCTCGATACAAATGATACATGATTGAAGTTTGCTTCTTTTTTTGGCGGCATTCTTTAGATTGCAGGCTGTTGATATCGCATGTCTTCATTCAGTGAAGCAGAGAGAATAAAGAACTTTTCTGTGTTTGTTTAATTTTGGGATTGAAAAAAGGATACTTTATACTTGGGACTTGAAAACGATATATTATAAGAAGTTTGAATATAATGGGATTGGACATTCACACTGACCATTTTGTTATTGTCTTCTAAACTAGTTAAAGCTCAGTATAATAAATGTTGTATTTGAGGTGTTTTACTCAAATATTTCTCTCTGACGTGTAACACTTTCTCAATCCACATTCTCACGTTTGATTTATGGTTTTCATGATCACACTCTTCTTATCATAAAAGCTTTCAAAGAGTGCCAACAGATGATTAATGTCACTTCAGTTTAGTACCATTATGTCACTTTGTCATAGCTCACATTCTTTGGGCAGTTCCCTAAAATGACACTGACATATAGCAGGTGTTAAAAAAGACACGACAGCCCTCACCTGTTATGCACAACATAACCCTAACCTAACAAAGCATGTCGTTTGCACTACTACTATAATTAGCTCAGATTGTTGCACTCATTTCAATATAAGGGCTAGATAATTATGTAATTCAATCTAATTGGAATCACACAATAGACAACATTAAATGGAAAGATTCTGAACGAGAAAAAACCCACAGCTGTACTATAACTACTGTGCAATAAATAGAAGTTATAAGTAACTGTCCCACAGCCATACCATTTCCATTATTTAAGTTATACATACCATACAGTCTTTCCAGGTGTTGTCCAGCCAAAAAGACACTCTCGGTGCTTGATGCCAACACGTCTAAAAGTGATTTCCTTGTTGCTAGGTAAGGGGAAATATTTTTTTGTAGAGAGGAAATTGTATTGGGGTTTGAAAATATTCTCTTCATCCTGGCAATATGAGTCTGAATGCACAACGAGCTGTTATATATTTTGTGACAGAGAGAGAAACCAGTTTTTCCATTTCCAAGATCGTGGTTACACGAAAACATGTCAAAACAGCGTCTGACAGCACTCACTAGGTTTCGCTGATACAGAATTTCTCATGAACTAAACACACTGTTTAACCAAAGTTTGTCTGTTTATGACCACCACACACAGTCCTACAGTACATTTCTCACAATAACACCTACCTCAGTAGAACATGCTACATGTATAGTAGGTCAGATATAGGCCTCTCTGCGTAAGTGGCTTTATCAAAATCCTGTATCTTCCGTCCATTCACATGTAACTGTTGGTATGACTCGTGAATTGAATGGGTACTTTTTGTTCTACCAACACGTAAATATTCTCGCTGAGCAGCTGATAGTCAGTCACGCCAGGAACCTGTGGGAAGTAGCCGCAGGACGGTATGATAATTGATGTTTATTTATTGTCATTGAAATATGCAGCACAGTGCAATCTTCCCAGAGGTTGTGGCTGGCTGCATCTGGTTACAAAACCTCAAAGATAATACAAAACATATCAATACGGCTGGCCCTGCAATCTCACCATCTTCTGATGTTTTACATACGATTTTATGTCGGCTACCACAGCACAGCAGTCTTTCATTTAGATTTTGTACTTGTAACTTAAGATTTGATCCACTTCGTTTCAAATTAAGACAGTGCTGAAGCTACCTAATATAACAAGGTTTACTAACAAGTCACTCAATATGGCTAATCATGATTCAGCTGGGGGGCTGTGCTTTTAAGTCTACAGATATTTTCATACAGGGCCTATGTTCACCCAACGAGTCTTATAGAATGATTATGACCGGGTGAAGTAGAGGACAATCCAATGTAGCCCGAGCCCCCGCTGACTCCTGGCTGCCTGCGCCAGATGTGGTGTGGTGGTCGGAAGAAAAGTAAGAAAGGATGAGGGCTTGTTATTGCATCGCTTGGACCTGCATTAAAAAGATCCATTAACTGGAGTTGCAGTTTATTCTGCTGTGGTTTGCAGATCTGACCTCAAGGAGAACTCTCTTAATTTATTCGCTTTCTTTATTCAGCAATCGTGTCTCAATGCAAATCTGAATAGCTTTTGTCTAGTCCTGTGGTTGACCTTTATTACCCTACTTGCTTGCCAAGAAGAGCCCACATGACCAACGTTAAGAAGGGCTGTAGATGGGCATGACAAGGCACATTTAAATGAATGGTATGAATGCCCTTTGTCACTATGATGCATGTGACTGCTGATATGGACAAGTGCACAGAGTTCCTACTTGACACGTGTATCAGACACGGATAAGTATCCAGGCAACTGACAGCAACAGGCCGTCTAGCTGCATGTTAATAAGCTCTGAAAGGAGCAAATGCATTTCCTTCATTACAAGCACTGTCACAGTCTTAAATCTCTCTCGCTTTCTTTTAAACCCATCTGTTCTGACTGTTTCTCATGAAATATCATCATGATTTCCACTTAAAAGCCAAACACCCGTCTTCTACGATGCTCATTTGTGTTGAAATATGAGGGAGCAGTGACAAAAGGGGGAACATGGAGAGGCGGTGCGCCAGAGTCACGCTGTGAGTTTTGCCACTGAGCGGACAGGCTGGCTGCACAGAAAAACATGAATACAGAATGAAAAGTTAGTTTCCACACCGCTTATTCCACATCCCTCTGTTTGAGTTTTTGTTTTGCTTTCCTATGTGTTTCTTCTACTTGTTTTTCTTCTTCTCCATGCTTTGGCTCAACATTTCATGCAGCGGTAAATCTGCGAAAACAGATAGTATATGCCAGGTCCCCTACAGAGTTTTAACATGCATCACACAAGTTGAATACAAGAGGGCAGGCCCTGTTCAGAAAGGTTATGAAAAATATAACCCAGGCTTGACATGATATACAAATATGTACCAAGTTCTGACTCCAAGCCTGCTTCAATATGATGAAAGTGAACCAAACTTTGTATAGATCTTAGAACAAGAAAGAAAGAAAATCATTAAAGCTGTTTCTTTGGTACTTTTCCTAAATAAATGGTGTATGAAAACCACACAGGGAAAATGTAAAGGCTATTATTTTAGCAGTTTTCCTTCAATATAAAAAAAAAAAATGCTATTTGAGTCTGCTAGGTGGTATGATGTGTGTATGGTGAGAAAGCTGTGTCTATTAGCCGCTCCATCATTCAATCAAATGCCATACACCAGACTATTTCTCTTGGCCCTCAAAGAGAAACAGGCAGGGTGGAAATGTGTCAGCCTGCTCTGCCCTCAGGGTTACTCCTCTGGTAAACCTCCTCGTTCTCAAACTCTTGAGGTGTGTGTGTGTGTGTGACAGAGTGGGTGTATTCACAAGCTCATGACATGTTGTTGAAATCCACACTTTGGCAACCTATTTGTTCTTCTAAATCCACTTTTGCTTTCAAGATAATGTTTATTTATACCTTGCACCTATTTATTATCATTTCCTAAAAGTATATTGTCTTTAAGAAATGCTCCATATATGAATCTTGTAGATATCAGCCTCAGTAATCTAATAAAACAAAGCATCCTGATTAGATTAGGAGGAAACAACTGAAGCGTGTTCTGGATTCAACGGGAGATTTGATAATGCCTTCAACAGAGGCAGCATTTCTCTTTGTTATGAATACATACAGTGGCACACACTGTGGTAACACGGAGAGCAGTTATATTGTATGTATAAGATTAGTTGGATTAACATTAGAGAAATAACGTAAAATGTGTGTGATGAATGCATATCCAGTGTAATATGGATAATGCAGTTAAGTGGCAAACATATTTGAATCTTGTTTCATTTATGTACTTTGTTATGTAGATACTGCTATATCAGATCAGTCAAAAATACAAATGATCATAGATATGCTGTAAAATGAAGAATAAATAATATGCATGTATTTTCCGTAAAAATGGCATCCTAAATCTTATTTAGCTTTTCTCAATGAGCATCTAGCCTTTTAAGTAACCTTGAGAATAATAATAGGTGATACATGGAACATATTACTTCATCACACATTTCAAGGAGAACTATTACGGCATCCAGTATTATTTTTCTTTCCTTTTCATAATATATAAAATGTTTACGTAGGATGCCTTCCATCAGAATTAGACCAGTTGGTGCCATGATTACATTACAGTGAGATTAACCATGTACACTGACACCCAGAAGTAAATACTGCCTCTTTGTCATAGCAGAGCTAAAGCAGGTCCAGCTGTGCAGGGAGCTGGATGGCACCGAGGGGCTGAGCTCAACAGATGTTCACGGGACGACCTGAGCAATATTTGTTCAGTTTGCTCTGGGAAAAAGACAGATAGGGAGTGAATCTGCCCAGCTGCCGCTCACTGGGCCACTGATGGCAGATACACACTGCCTCATTGTAGACTGGGTCCACATTTGTAACAGAATGTGCTGTTTGATCTTTACCCCTTTAACTGTTTCCATTGGCACTGCCTGCTGCTTCTCCATAAGCAGGTCCAATAATATCACGGTACATTGGAAAATAAGCATATTTACTGGAAACTGTGAATGCAAGTATGGGCACGGATTTTGTCAACATCTGGTTCGAGGGTTGGGTACTTTAAGAACCTGATGCCAAGTCCATTTTCTGCAGACAGGAAATGCTTAAGAGTTTGTTGACTGTTTTCCTAACATGGCAGAGAGGAAGGACGCCAGCCGACATACCATAGCTTTTGGTCCGGATATTGACTTGCTGACTCACTGTCTGTTTTTGATGTTTTGTTTTAAAGACCAATAAGGGACACATTTTCTGTATGTCCAGCCCAAATTTATGACACATTGTTAACAAAGGCATCTGTCTGAATTTGGGATGAAATGCTTCACTAATGGGAACAGTTAAAGACACTTAAGTTACCTAACATGTGATGGTGCATGCATGTTATGCATACACAGTTCTTGCGAGTATTAAGAATGGACGTTAGGTTTGTTGGATATTTGCCGGTTTCTAACGAAAGTATCTCAGGAGGACAACAGATAAACAGTCCCCCACATCTCCCAAAGGTGATAAAACTGTGGCAGCTGCTTCAATCATGAGTGTAAATCAGATGTACACACGGACACGCAACCTAAAGTACTGTAGGTTCACATACTTGTAGTTTTGCTTGTTTAAGCCCCCTTTACTAAAAGGTACATATAATTGAACAAACTTCTAAAACAAACAATTTTGAACACTGCTCAAGGACGCTATTTGACTCTATGTATATCAGTGCACAATAAAAGTCAATTTCTGGAGCTTGCTTTAATTTATTTATTTTACATCAAACTCATTTTAACATAAAAATGCCATTTCATTTGGAAACATCTCTCCAGTTTGGTGTTTTTCAGGATGCTCTGACTCCCAAGATATATGATGTATCTCTGACAGAAAAAAAACAGTGGTGCGATTGTCATAAGACTATATTGTAAAATTATGAGTTGCTGCTTTGAAGATGTGAGTGCAGTGTTTTCATGAGTTTCTTCCTGTCTTCACAGACCCAGCAGTGCCCCTCAAGATGGAGTCACTAAGGTATGAAGTTAAATATTCACATCAATTCTGTATTTTATGAAGGTCTTCTGAATTCCATTTAATTTCTAAAAACTATAGCAGTTTCTTAAAAGTGAGCATTCTCACTGTGCCCTTCTGAGATTATGTCAGAAAACAGACTGGCTTGGCATGCATACCTGACCTTAGAGGCCACGCTTTATAGCACCTCTTAAAGTGGTATGGCACAGGCATGACTTGTGAAAACACCTTTGATTTGTTGTGCAGTGCTTTTTGAGAATGCTGTTTTTACATGCATGGGTTTATTGTGGATGTGCATGCTGTGTGTCTCCACCTTGATCCAGGAAGAGCCTCAGGAAATCATAAAACCTGTCCCAATCACTCACCCTACCCCAACCACGGCATACACCAAGCCCTCCAGTCAGCCCGGCCCTGCGTACAACAAGACCGCCCGGCCTTTTGGGGGCGACAGCAGCATTGTGGTCACAGCCCCCTCCCCGGCTGCCCCCTCCATCCCCTCACCATCATCTGCTTTCAAGCCAGCTGCTCCTTCTCAACCGCCACAGCCTCCATTTCTGCTGAAGTCCAGCCTGCCTGCCCCGGACTCTGCTCCAGCCAATTCGGTCCCCAGGCCCAGCCCTGTTCGCTCCACCTTCACCTCCCCATCTGCCTCTTCCTCCTCATCTAACTCCTCCTCTCCAGCCAGAGTGACAGCCCCCCCCTCCCATCCTAATGTCCCACAGCCCTCCGTCTATAACACTCCGATCCACCTCTACTCCAATACCAATGCATGTGAGGTGGCTGTTGGACAGAGACGCGGTCTTTTGGAGAGCCAGGGGCTGTCAGAGAACTTCAATGGGTGGGTACCATTCATCAAATCAGGTTTTTCTTCATGTTGGTGCAAGTGCAAAATATTAGAGAACTATTTAGTCATATATGTACTGTGCGCTGTGTGCTTCGGTGAGCAGATCCAGAAGGTCTTGTGGTTCATAGAAGCCACAGATAAGTTGGCAGTTTTTCTTTGCCCAGAAGAAAGTAAAAGATCCCATTCCACTCCTCTTAAACCTCATTCCCTATTTCACCCCTAAATATGTGTCTAATTTAAAAAGCTAACATTGAAATCTGAGGCACGCTGCACATCTTGTTTAAATCTTCTACACAGCAACCGGAGAAGTAAGAAAGAGTCTAGACGACTTGCTAACTGATGCTACTGCCTGCCTATCTATAATTGACAGTGTGGTTCGCAGCACTGCCAAACACACACACACACGGCCTGCCCAACAGGCTGCTGCAACACTTGTTTGTAATTAGACGTTTTCTGGCAGCGCTGAGCTAAGTTTGGCTGGACTGAGCCTCATCAGCAGGATTTCACTCACAGGTTGGGTTACAGTAGACTTTGCAAGGTTCAAGTGATTTGCCACTCTTTTTCAACTCTCTATTACCTGAAAAAATAGGTCGCAGAGATTTGTTTTTATTGGAGAGCAAGCGGCTCAACACTTAAGTATATCTGTGAAGCCTATATTTATGTATATTACAATGCTACTGAAATAAAACCAGTCAGAATGGTCTTTTCAGGAATGTTGAAAATCAGTTTTTGCAGATAACCTGTTCAAAAGTCAAACATTTAGGAATAGAAAACAAATATATTTATGTAAAAACTTAGTGTACATAAAAATACAAATTCATAATACACTAATAAGGCTCAAAATGTCTTATTTCTTCAACTTTGGACTGTCAGCTCACAGTTGAAGTGCATTTGTTTCAGCATGTGTGTTTGTGTCCTCACCCGCATGCTCTGTTCGTGACTTCCTTGGCTTTTCTTCATGCACATTCTCTCAGAAGGGCCTTTTACCTAAAGGGCATGTGTTTCAGACTGTGATCCATCTCCAAAGCTTGTCTCTTCCTGCTCTTCCTGTGCTTCAATCCTTTTCTGTTTACCCCTTCTTTCCCACAGGAGGAAGAAGAGACAGACACCAAGTTAGTGCTGTGAATGATAATACATCTGCTGCAGTTGCTTTCTAACCATGTGGAATGTGATTACAGCCTTCACATCTCTCTGGTTTATGATTACCAAAAGGCATGCTTGCACCTCTTTGAGCTAACCCTCACAAACCTCTCATTCGTGCCGCTCATCCACTTATAGAACATGCTCACTTCAAGGTCCAAACAAAGTGCGAAAACGCTGTAAACAATCAATCTCCCAGACACCACAGGACACTCAGTGGGGGTCAGCACATACAATTCATTCTTTTTCTCAGCGGCGTCAGGCTGTGTTAGCTAATACTGTATTTACAAGCGGGCCTGTCAGCACACTCAGTTCCTCGTGTCACCCAGCTCTGCATCTGTCTCGCTCCATCTGCTACTGGTGTCAGAATGTTAACTCGAGGCCAGAGAAATCACTGCCAAGTGTATTCTGCTTTGACTGGGAACATACTGTCTTTGATCATCCTTCACCTCCACTTGAATAACACAAACACACACTTACAGAATAAAAAATTGCACAGACTTTGACTTTTGACATTTTAGAAACAGCACTCAAACTAAACCGTGCATGTAAACACTTAACCTAAATATTATTGCATTCTAGAGAACCCTCAAATTATTTTAGGTAGAAAACCTGATCCCTAATTTTCACAGCACATTACTCCCACCCTGTGGTGAGATGTGGTAACTGTCACTTTTATCTCTAAAACTCACTTGACAACCAGCTGTTGGTGTGTTTCATTTCACCATTTTAGTGTAGTATATGTAATTGCTTAATAACCAAATATTATTTTTAAGGGAATTGCAATATCTGGATGACTTATACTCTGTGGGTTTCCTTTCTAATAGTGACCCTCAGACAAGTCTTGTGTAAGTATAAGTCAGAACAGTTTCTTGACTTATCCATATTAAGAGTGCAGGCTCAAAGAGTTTATTCAGCACTTAATATGACTTTTAATCTTGTGATGATTTCTACCTTTGTGTGTTTCCTTTCTATCTTCTTATTGCTCGCCTGCAGACTTCCACCTCCAACTAAACCTAGGAGGTAATTGTGAATCTAACAGCATTTAGGTCTAAGTTTGAACATGTATCTACTGTATTGTTGGTCGTCACTAAAAGAGTGAGTTGTTTGTCAGCTTGTGTGTGTGTATGTGGTATCTTGTTTTTAGTGATACATGTTGCCTTCCATGCCTGTAACATCATCATTGTTGATCTGATCTTAGGAAGGTTAATGTGGAGCCTGAGGACCATGCGTCCCAGCTGAGTGATGCCAGCAGGAAGCGTCTGATGGAGGACACGGAGGACTGGCACCCCCGAACCGGCACCTCCCAGTCCCGCTCCTTCCGCATCCTGGCCCAGCTCACCGGCACTGAAAATGGTGTGTACTAACCTTAGTGTGCTAGTATTTTTAAATGGGGCTTAACACTGAAGCGACTTAATAAGGTGTCTTTCATGTTTTGGTGTTGAAAGTAGCTTGATATAATTTTAGGAATTAGTGTCACTTCATTTTAGACCTATTAAACCACTTAAAGCCGGATCACCTATCAGTTTTATCCAAAGTTAAATTCATTTTAGGGGAGTCCATTTCAACATATTTCCTTGAATAGCTTATATAAGACTTTTAATAATGTCCCTTCTGCTAATCATATATCTTTTACAAAAACGTCATTGCCTCTTTAAATCACAGTGATATTACTGTTTCCTCACTCATGGAAAGATTTCATCGCCATATGATTTCAATGTATCTTTTTATATTACTTTTTTTGACTATAATTGACATTGATGGTTACATGATCAGGCTGTGGCTTTTGGACTCTCTCCACTCATAGGGCTTGTGTGAATGTGTGCGTGGATGTGTTTAACCAATGCAAAATGTCATTTACAGCAACCCCGGTTATAAAAGGAAGTTAGATGAGAGATTGGTCCGTCGCGTTCTCTCTTTCTGTCGAATTAAGTTACCAGACTGGTGTGGAATATGAGATGTGCTTTGAACAGTTGATGTATATTCAACGTGCGTGGTGCTTCTGCAGCTGTGAACAATTGGGGAATATGTCCAAAAAGTGTCTAGTTTGCATGGTTTACACTTGCTTATTCACTTCGTACTCTGACAAGATTAATCTAGAACATGTTGAAGCAGATATGAAGCAGCAGAATTGTTTTTCCATATTCTCACTGACCTTTTATTGTACTTTACATTCATTGGTGTTATTTTTCTCCTCTGTTGCAGAGCAAGCTCCAGAGAACGGTGGAAAGAAGTAAGTGGTTGGTGGTTTGTAATGTAATCAAATTTGGTATGTGGTTGTGAGTGTTCATTCGCTCTCTGTCTTTCGTCTGTGAGTATTTTTTGCATGCACTGAATGTGAGGCATCCATTTTATAATAGTAATAATAATAATTTCTTGATAATTGAGGTTTCACATTCCGAATTGGCCCTGAGAGTACTCATGGAAGCATGTCTGGGACTCTGTGATTCAGAGTTAAGCCCTGATTTCCTGTTCTTGTGGTCCCACAGTATCATGCTTCATTTAAGGCTTAATTTTGAGAAACCGCTTTGAGAGCTCTCAGAGGAAGAGGTTGGAGCGGAGACAGCCGGAGACTCAGCAAAGGCCCTGATTGCTACTGCTATTCTCCACCTTAAGTCGATTTAATCTGCAGTAAACACAGATATCCCTCCACACCGGGGTTTCAAGCAATCAGTGTGTCACTCACTGGAACCTGTGGGTAATTAAATGACCGTGTGGATAATAGCAGACCTGCCAGAAGAAGATCCTGCTCCTCTTCTATTAGTGTTCAGTGTACTCTTCTTAAAAAGAGAGCATACACGTCTGCCTTGGATTATGTTACAAAAGAAAAAAGGGTCTTATATTTTGTATTGGTTGCGCTCTTGCTGTTTCCCCCTCATTCATACATACTCTTGTGTTTTGCCTTACTTTTCTTCTACCTTTATCTTAACCTTTCCAACTTTCCCCTTTTCTCCTTTTTTCGCTTTTGATCCTGCTTCATGGGACAAATCAGAGAGAGCAAGTTGGACCCAGAAGTCATAGGACAAATGTACAACAAGCTGAGAGATTGGCATCATGATGTTTCAGCGCGTTTGCTAAATGTGTAGTAGGCACATGTCTTGTTTAATATTTTATTTATCATTATATTATTGAACATTATTTAACGTACAATGCCTCCAGTTTGCTTACCATCTAAGTTACAGCCATCATTTTGAACACTTAGTTTAAATAACTGAAGTAGAAAGTGAATTGAAAATGTTACTATGTAAGTATGTAATCATATTTTCAAATGTAAATTAAATGCATGCATGTAAGTAAATATGTGTGCTTAGAAATGCAATATTACAGTATATCACAGGGTACACGTGTTCTTCTCTTTTGTTACTGTCCAAGCCTCCACTCCTCTGCACTTTCTGTAATCTTGTACTTTTTATTTTGTTTCCTTTTTCTGCTATTTTCTATACTAACCTATAGTTTAACTTTACTTTCAATGATTTTACCCTCAATAAACTTGTGTCTCTCTTTCCTGCTGTTGCTTATTTCCTAATCGTTTCATTTCCTTTTCTGTTCTTATTGGCGGGGGAAAAAATAGACTTTTCATTTTTACATTTCCAGGAAGTTAAGTTTATGATATGGAAAACTCGGTTATGCATGAAGAGAAAAAGGGTTCAAATGCATGTAGTTTATTTATTTGAAAAATAAGACAATAACTGACTTTCCTCAAAATGCAATCCAATATAAGTCAGATCCGTTATTGCCAATAGTTATCATAAATCATGAGAACCAGCTGATTTCTTTCTGCTGTGGTTTTATCATCATTGCAATATCAATAGCCTCATACTGGCTCTGTCACGCATCACTCAAGGTAATAAACATATGGTTAATGTGCTATATGTAAGCACTGTATGATCTGTTTGCCATTAAAAGAGCTCTGGTTTTGCATCACTATGATTTGAGACCACAGACACCAATGCAATCTGGTAAATCTACTCGCAAGTGAAATATAAAACCAGCTGCTGGTCGCATTGCATTTCCTTATCATAATCCTCCTGTCATTCAACCAGAAACACGTAACAGACCGGATATGAGAAATAAAACTATAAGACATGATGAAAACCATGACAAGAAATAAAACCATGAATCCTTCTTTGACAGTATGCCCTGTTGTTGATCAAATGCAGTCTTATGTTGCTGCAAACAAAAACAGCTTCAGGGTTAGAAATGTCTGCTGGTTCAAATCCTTTGCCCTTCTTTATCTGAGCAGTCACTTTAAGGATGCTTCTAAAGGGCAGGAAGTTAAATATTTAAGATTCAATCAAATGTAAAGAAGCAGATCATGTGTACGAAACTTTATTGAAAGTGCCACATGTATTAAATAAGTATTACATCTTTCTTCATTTTGAGTTCTTTGCTCCTAACAGGAGGTCCTCATCTTGAAATGAAATATCAAAAACGTTACAATTGGCAGGCACTAGAATTACAAGGGCTTCTCATTTTCAACTGTAATATATTATACAAAAAAAGAAATAACCACTGCCTCAGAGTGTCTTCATCATTGCTGTTTCTGGAGAATAAAAGCAATATCCACTGCAGAAATGATCCCACTGGTTATCTCCGGTAATGATTGCAGGGTACGCTTCATGTACAGCAGACAGTATGGCATCACCACCTGTAATTGTTGCCTCATGTCAGTAATTGACAAACCATATGTACAGTGGGCGGCAGTGCATATCCGTATTTGAAGGCGCCCCATAATTGCCCTAATTGTTTGCATGTGTCACTGAGATTTCCACTGATTGTAAACGTTTGTACCTTCAGTGAGAGAACCAGCAGTTGACACGATCGCACTACGCATTATTTTGTGCAGGAAGCTCAGTTCAACCTGTGACACTTGGATGTCTTTCTTACTCAGGGATCAAAGGAACATGGCACAAAAATAGCAAACAAAATAATGGGAAAAGCTGTTGCTGGTAGGGGGGGAAAAAAGTGACAGGCATTAGTTGCAGAGGTGGGAAGTAGTGGAGTACAAATACTTTGTTACTGTACTTAAGTGCATTTTTCCGGTATCAGTACTTTATTCCAGTACTTATTTTTCTGACGACTTTTTACTTTTACTTCTTACATTTTTAACACAAATACCTGTACTTTCTACTTCTTACATTTTCAAAACAGGCTGGTTACTTTAGTTTTAATCTGTGTTTGGTGGCGTGATCTTTATTTAGAGTCATTGCGTGCCTGTTGATTTTAACACGATTTAAGTCCATCATTTCCTGGTCTTCTCTAAAGAAGAGGGACCAATGAAAACGTTGTAATTTTGCCGTTGTTCAGCATCGAAACATTCATTAGCTAACAATGACATTATTGTTCTATTAATATAAAGGGAGGTCAGTTACTCTTTAAAACAGCTGGTAGTTTTAGGTACTTTTTACTTAAGTACATTTCCAAGCCCACACTTCTTTACTTTTACTTGAGTAAAGAAGTTTAGTCAGTACTTCTACTTTTACCAGAGTATTTTTAAACACGAGTATCTGTACTTCTACTTGAGTAAAACATGTGTTTACTGTTGCCATCTCTGATTAGTTGTGTGTGTGTGAGTGTATCTTGTGTGTTTTGAGTTGTGATTTATAAGAAATATGTACATCTGTTCCCCAGTGAGGCAGTTGACAAAAGCACTCCCGCTGTGCACACCTCGCCTGCAGCCAAAACATTTTCCAAATCTGCAGCCTCACCCAGGAATGGCAACGGGGTCCCTGCTTCCACGTTCAAGAGCCCAGCCGCCCAGAACAAGCCTTCCTTCCAGCCTGGAGGCCTACCAGGTACAGAAAGCATTCCCTAGACTCTGTTGTTTACTGCCTCTGAAATGGATGTAGTTTTGTATAAGGTATTGTGTGCAGTTGCTACTTTCAGCCTGCAGAGGGCAGTCCCAGTCTGCTAAATCCCTGCTGCTCAGCCATGGCTTTTATTGGTGGTTTAATACCTGGCTGACACTAAGCCATTTAAGATTATGAGCTCGATAAAAAACAGAGGTATTTCGTTAATGAGCTCAGGTTATTGGATTTTCCCAAGATCCCTTTAGTTAAATATATTGTGAAAATGAGAATTATGTATCTAATTTTGTGCAAAGGCTGTCCTCAAATCTAGCATGGGACCGTCAAGGTGGTCAGGGTAAATATTTGCTGAAAGGAATCAGTCAGGGATCATTATTAGCAATACTTAGACACAAGTATGCAGTCATACATGAACAGATGCACTATGTGCCCTGAAGTATTTCCCTGGAGGCCTTTTTTTAGAAGCGGCTGCTGAAAGGTGCCACGGGCAGAGAGAGCTGGAGAGGGCACAGTTAGCTCTCTGTCGGCCGTGATATTTATCAGATTAGCACATACTTGAGTTCAAGTAAACAAGCACGTATGTTAGCCATGTGGAATGCAACCTTTACATTTATTTACATGAATTAGTAATTTTGGCAGCAAGGCTAAAAAATCTTTGGAATATTTACAACATACAATAAAGCATCAACATTTATAAGATGCTATAATGGCATTAAAATGTAGGTGTTCTAATTTGAGTCACATACAGTTTGCCAGACTCGTCATTCTCTACATTCCTCTGTTTCTGAATTAAGTCAATATAACCGACGAAACAGAGATTTGCACTCCTGCTGAGAGTCAGTTTGGTCTTCTCATGCAGACTTTTTTCCTCCTTATCTTCCTTATACAGAAAGACAGCCCTGACAGACTCTGTTTCACTTTCCGTATTATTAAATGTGGCTCAGCCCTCAATATTTGCTCTTGCCAAAGGGTTTGTTTAGAATATTTTGCCCCACTGACAGCTTGTCACCATCCACCTCGCTGTGCCAGCTTCTCCACAGATAACACAGTGAAATGCTGCCACTGAAAAATATTCTTCAGTGTAATTCCCTGCATTAATACTGCATTCAATTCAATTGAATAGGCTCCTTTTTTTAAATATATTTTCTGTTTTATAAAACAATTTAAATGTAATTTATTCTCTATTCTCACAAGTAAATGATAATGGAAAGTTGTTTAATTCTGAATCCCTCCCAGGTTGCTAAGGCCCTCAAATTTGCTTTTGGCTTCGACAGAAATAAGTCAATGCTCAGGTAGTGTTTGGAAATGTGGATATTTTAGGCATTATTATGTTTGATGATAACTCTGGTGACAAGCTAATGGTGTTTAGAATAAGAGCAGCTATTCAAATCAACCATACCAGAAACATTATTTAACACAATAATAATAAACGAATGAAATATCAGAGAGAATCTTCTTTGTATCCCTTTTTGTAGCCGATATTTTCACACATACTCTCTAGTATCTTTCTTTCTATGAAACCCACTCCCACAGTCTTCTCACAACCCCGCTCTGTTTATTCAGTTTGTTTGCTCTCCATTACAAGGACATTTAGGGAGCCCTTGTCCTTTGACCTCGGAAGTCTTTGATAACGGTGCTCTCTTTCAATGGAGTCTCTGTCCCCAACGCCTTCACCCTGGAGCACTCCCTCTGAGGGCGGAAACACTGACCTCAGTTCAAGATGCGTGTTTGCACTGAGAGAGAGAAGGAAAAATCGTGCATCCTCTCCATATGTGTTGAGATAAGATGAGGGGGGTTATTTTTCCAGGTGTCTCCTCTGACTCTGGGAATGTGTTGTTTCCCTTCAGTGGGAAAAATGGATCCGTTGTCTGGGCTGGGTTTGGTGGCTCTGTCCAACACAGCTGTCTCAGGCTCCAGGCAGCGAGGTTAGAGATCATCAAATCATTCACACACCTAAACACAAGTAATGACTAAAACATAGAAAATAGTGGATCAGTGGAAGAAAAACATTGTATGAAAAAGGGTTTGAAAGGAGTATTTGTCCAATACCTTCTGTGTTATCAAAGTTTCTTTCCATTTGAAAACTGACCCATTATTTTCCCTACTGGTTTAGGTTTTCCTAAGGGTGGAGGAGCTCCTTCATTTGGCAAAGTTACCAACCCTACTCCCAAAGGTCCAGACCGCCCCATCCCTCAGCCACACCCACAGGACCTCAACTCTCTGGTGCAGCGGGCCGAGCACATCCCAGCCGGGACACGCACCCCCATGTGCAACCAATGTAACACTGTCATCAGGTAAAACACATTTACCATAAAACAAATGTTGTAACAATGACAAAGTTTCAGTGATTACATAATTCAATAAGAGTTACTCACTCTACACACAATGTACTACTATTATAATACTTTAATACATTCCCCCCCCTAAGCCACTGTCCATTGCTTATTCTCAACAGGGGCCCATTCCTCGTGGCAATGGGCATGTCATGGCACCCGGAGGAATTCAACTGTGCTCACTGCCGCTCCTCTCTGGCAGTGGGGGGGTTTGTGGAGGAGAAGGGCCAGGTGTACTGCGAACGTTGCTACGAGCAGTTCCTCGCTCCCACCTGTGGCCACTGCCAACAGAAGATCCTGGGGGTGAGTTAGGAAACTGAAGAGATATTGATCTTTTCTGTAGTCTACTTGCTCTAAAAAAGTATTCTCATTAGAAACATCCGACACTGTTCTTAACATGAAAAGATAATGTAGTCATTGTTATTAAAGAGTGAATGAGGTTGCTTTAATGTAACCATTAAAACAAATGCAAGCCATGTATATTATCTGTTATCCAAAGGACAATAATTAGAAAATAATTTTATATTCAAACGTGAAACATTTTAGTGTTTGTTCCATAAACAAAAACAATTCTTACTGTCCTTAAAGGTAGGGTAGGTAAGTTTGAGAAACCGGCTCGAGATACACTTTTTGTTATATTCCATGGAATGCTCTTAACATCCCGATAGCAATGAATATCTTAAGTGCTTTGACAAAATATCCATACAAAAATGTCATCTGTGGAAGCCGTAGTACTGTAAAAAGTACGACCAATCATTTTAGCCGGCCCGGCTAAAATAACTGGATGGCCTACCTGCCTGTCAGCCTTCCATCTCGTGCACAAACTTATCTCGTGCCCTCATTGGTCATGTGCGCGTTCGTGTGTGTTGGAGGAGGGGCTCTGTAAGGAAGTGGCAGATTTTCTCCGGTTGTGTATTTTTTCAAATTCTAGCGATCTCGAGCCGGTTTCTCAAACTTACCTACCCTACCTTTAAGGTATTTGATTGCTCATATAAGGACTATTTTTCAAAAAATCAAAACCAACTACTGATTGTTAACACAAACAAAACAATACTACAGCATAATAAATCATAAGAAACAAAGTGCAGTACAAGCCATGCTTAGAAAATATCAGGTTAAGCACCAAAATCCCAACAATTCTGTCTCCATGTTTTTTCGAAAACTCAAGAATTCAAATCATGTTGTTAACAACTGCAACAGGCTGTTCCTCATTTTTTATTTCTTCTATTTTCTCCACAGGAAGTCATGAATGCCCTGAAACAGACCTGGCACGTGTCCTGTTTCGTCTGTGCCGCCTGCCAACAGCCAATCAGGGGCAACACATTTCACATGGAGGACGGGCAGCCATACTGTGAAAAAGGTTCATTATGAAGCCCACGCTCGTAAATTACAATGCTGTAAATAAAGCCATGTGTGCAAACAGAATAACATTGATCAACATGCTTTTCATTTAGACTACTATAACCTCTTTGGGTCAAACTGCCACGGATGTGACTTCCCCATCGAGGCAGGGGACAAGTTCCTGGAGGCTCTAGGATCCACCTGGCATGACACCTGCTTTGTGTGCGCGGTAGGTCCAGGAGACAGTTTCAAAAGCAACAAAAGGGTTCAAGTGAAATGTTTTTATGTGAACACAGCTCTTCTCTCTCTCCACAGGTCTGCTCTGCTAGTCTGGAAGGTCAGGCGTTCTTCTCCAAAAAAGACAAGCCTTTGTGCAAGAAACACGCCCACACAGTCAACATCTGACCTGCCTCCCATGAATATGAGTTGGTTGGTGTCAGTTGAACCGCAATTTATATTTCAGTCAGATGATAAATATTTTCAGAATTGTTTTCAGAACTAACATTGGGTCAGAGGTTCCTCTATAAACTTATTTTTGCTTTTACATTTTTATGTCAGTCAGTTTTATAGATGAATATGGAGTACATGTCACTGTTGGCCCCCTGCCAGTTCCATTTCTGTGCAAGTTTTTGGTAAGATTTTTATTTGTGCTTTTTTATTTGCTCTTGATGGGCATTTGTCTCACACAGAATAGGATATTTCACAGCAATGACCTACTGAGCTCCTCGGGGGTCACATATCGGAAAAAAGTATTGATGTGTAACAATATGCTATCTGTTAAGCTAGTGAAAGGTTTAGAAATTATGATTATTTAACATTAAAGGGGGAAATTATTTATTTGTAAACAAGACTTGATCAGTCAACATGTGTTCTGGCAACAAAAAGACTAAAAATGGGACATTTTAATATTATATTATTGTTTGTTTTATTGTTTTAAAGTAATGTGCTATGTAACAATTCCCAGTGGAAATAAGCACACACAGTAATGTGTACAGCAGTGAGGAAATTAGACACTGTGCAGGTCAAGTTTCATGCTTAAAAAACATATTTAAGAAAAAAGTCTGGTCATCAACACAAGGAAACCATAATAGATTGTGTTGTTTATGTATATTTTGTTATGCCGACAGTTCAGGGGAAAAGTATTCTTCCAGTAAATACCTCCATACAAGTCATTCCTTTTAATAAAATGCATTACATTTGAAATATTTGTCATTGTTTGTCTTAAACATTAAGGAACTGGACCCTCTGTTGTGGCAGTGCGGCAGGACCTTGTTATGTTGAATATGTCCTATGTTTGATGAAATTATTCAATTAACACAAAACGATATATATTTCATTTTCCTTTGTCTTGCGCAAAGAACATTGCAGTCTATGTACTAAATTACATTGGATACAATGCATAAATATACACCTCTCTTTACTTTCAATAAAAGGGTTCAACACTAAATAGCAGTGCAATCAAAGCTCTTGAGTATGTTATTAAGCTTGTTTACATACCTTTACATTATCTATTACCAGTGGCGGCCGGTGGTCTTTTTTTTTGGTGGGGCTCTTGACGTACCGTAAGTGACCTACCCGGGGGGTCCGGGGGGTTTCCCCCCGGAAATTGTTTTCGAGAAATGACCCCTTAAATGATGACTTCTGGTGATGTTAGAGGGGGGGGGAAAGGAGAAATCGAGGCTTAAAAATATGAGAAGACTGATCAATACCTCCATAATCTTCAGTGTGGAAAATATTATTTATCAACCTCAACATCTACTACTTTACCAGGAATTTGTGTTCTCAGAACTGGTCTGTTTTTTTCTTTCTTAAAACTGTTCATGTTTTATGAACCAACACCTTCACCAAGTAGCTTTACAGTGAACTGCATGTGAGATATAAAATTAATAGCATCTTTTCAGTAGCATTAATTATAAATATTTAAGTGGTTCAATACAAGTCACTACAGCATTTCAAACTGAACTGTGAATAAATGCAATTTAAAAAAAATAACCACAGCACAAAATGTCATAAATTGTGTTTTTTCTTTGTTTCTCTGAGGATTATTTACAAACAGGCTTATTTACATATAGCAATAACTCAGAAATGAAAAAGCTACATCGTCTAACACGAACAACCAGTTAGCATAATGATAATATATGTGTTATGTACAATGTAACTGGCAAGGCTAGAGCAAGAAAGAACATAAAGTTTGCAAAAGGTTTAAATAACTTCAAGTATCTGTCTTCAGATTACGTGGAGGTTTTAGTCCGATGGGAAGCAGATTTTAAGCGACACCGAAGATAAACCAAAAATGTGGTGGAGCTGCAAACCGTGTAGTGTTGCTGGGACAGAACAGGAGCTATAACCGTTGGAAAATACATCACAGACAATGCAACAAACGTGGAGACAGAACAATCACTTCTGTGATAAATGCCCACTTATTAATAAACTTCTAACAACCATGGGAAACCTCCTCTCTACATATAAAGTGATATCCAAGCATGGGAAACAAAAGACAGCATTTACCTGTTTGCATCCAGCTAGCCAAGCCTTTCTTGTGTACCAGCTACTTGTGAAGCCTCGTGTATAAATGTTGTCTTTTTCACGAGATTGCTGCGATATATTCAAATCGGGTTGGTCCGGTGCAAGGTCTTTAAGCAACAATTTATCTGCCAAACTTCTCCTTTCGAAAGGATTGGAGATTAGCTCTTGAACAGAATTAGCCGGGGACCGAGGTCCGGAGACTCCACCTGCACACGAAGCCATCCTCATCAACTACTGCGTCAACCGGATACGAGTCACTGTCCAAACTACTCACAGACTGCACTGGGCGCTGACATTGGCGCCTGGTGACCGTCATCTTTGACGACGCTGATTGGCTGAAATTATATTTTCGCGGCATAGTTTACACGTTACAGATAGCAACAGTCAGCTGCTAGTGGCTGATGCTGCACTGGTTGAAGGCTCCTCTCTTAGCGCCCAGACGAGAGAAGGTGCATGGGCAAGGCCAGGCAGGAAACATGTGACTTATCAGTAACTTTAGACATCGTAACACAATTTTAAACGAGATTTTATTGTAGATTATACATTTTACTGATACCAATTATATAATATTTACCTTGTTCATTAAAAATAAAAATAAAAACATATATTTTTTTTTAAACATATTTTTTTTTTTTAATTTTAATTTTAATTATTATTATTTTTATTTTTTTTCAATATGGGAAGAGGTGGGGCGGCGCCCCTAGCGCCCCTATGGACCGGCCGCCACTGTCTATTACCTTTGTAGCTGACTTGGACAATAAAACATTTTAAAGCAATCTTCCTCCTGCAGATATGTTGTTTATGATGTGTATGGTGCACTTTTAATGTGTGTAAGTGCATAGAAAGCATTGTAGCAAATAACTGATCCATCTTTAGTTCTTATGTGCATTATAAATCTTTAGTTGGAGTAGTTTATTGGGCTGGCAGACAGACTTGGATCATAACCTGCAGTGAGAGGGAAATGTACATCTCCAGCGGGACAGGAGAAACACCCACCTGGCACACAGACTTGGATCATTATGCCAATTAGGAATTCACTCCAGGTTATTTATTCATGAGGGAGAGCAGTAAACGCATACAGTGTTGAGTAAATTGAGTTATTTTACGAGTCTATGGAAAATGTACCTGGAGTGCAGAGCTGAGTGGATATTACCTGCACTTCTCCAAGACGTCGGAGGTGGGAGCTGTGCGCAGGAAGACGCGCGACTGAAGCAGCCTCAAATAACGCGTGGTACACTTGGAAAAGTCTACCACAAGACAGAGGCACACATGCAAACAAAACGGAGCACGGTAGAGATCAAATCGACACAAACTGGGATCTTGCTGGGCTGCGTTTGAAGCGAGAAGGACACGGTAAGCATACTTTAACTCACAATAAAAACAGGTTTGCGCCGCAGCTGCAGTCTCATGATAACCAAGCTTTTCCTCTCTGAAACCAGGGGTCCGTAATTTATTTTCCGTGCTGCTGTCCATTAGAATTTAACCGAAGTGCTTATTGCTGCCTGCCCGGAGTTTGGTGCTGGCAGCAGCTGCGGGACCCCCGACCGTGTTATTGGTGGAGTCTGTGATGATGATGCTTATCACTTATCGGTGTCAGGATCGCCACTCAGTACAATTTAACGTTTGACCCGAGAGAGATTATCGCTTCTAAACTGGATGGAGTTGAGTTTGGTTTGTTTACAATAAGTATACTAAATGAGTCGAACAATTTCTGTGTAGGAACAATCTAACATATGTATACGTTTTCTGGTGCCATTCTTGACTGTGAAACATAATATAATTAATTAATTATTCTCAACATCTGTTGAGTAGCTTTTCTAGAGATGTTGATCCTATCACATGATCTTAATCACCAAATGAAGTTTGCCCAGTTGGTAGTGGATTGTAGATGTTCAGATTTCAATTTTCGAAATGTTTGTTATTCTAAACTGGGCTGTTATTCTAAACTTAATTTATCTAATTAAACTCGTGGATTCGTGTTCTTATTATAGACACATGCATTTCCAAAACATTTGGACTACCTATGTTGTCAATGTATTATCAAACTGTGAAGTCCACTGAGACAAAAGTGACGTCACCCCATTCAAAGTGAATGGGCAGAAGCGTTGGAAGAAGCTTCCAACGCCGCTGTGTGGACGGGCCGTAATAAAATGTTGTTGACTAATCAAATAGTTGATATAATTGACAGATCTGTAAATTCTCCCTAGCAGAATTATACTAAGCATGACTTCTAAATCTCGTGTTTACGAGAAGTGTTCTGTTCTCATAAGTTTCTTGGAAATAAGTCATTAGCACAAAATGACTAATCAAATAAGTTTACTAATTGACTTATAGGAGGCAGGCCCTGTTGCTCACTGTCAATTACAACTCTGGTAATGATCATCAGTGTTCAGGGAGTTAAACACATTACAGGGAAAAACCTACTGTGTGTGTTCATGTTTGGCAGCAAGCTTACGAATTAAGGTGTATAGTGGCATGGTGTCAATGGCAGCGTTTGACTGTTAAATGCATGGCACAACATTCTGTGCTCTGCAGTTTATCAGACTGTCAGTGAACCAGTTGATCTCTGTTACATCACTGAGTTTGTGACGTTTACATCAGCATCTGCGGGCAGGGTGAGGCAACGTGCTGCACCTAATGCAGGTATGTGGTGTTGTCTTTAAGAGCACCAACCATCCTCTGACTCCACAGGACAGAGGAGCTCATTGAAGCAGAGCTGAGTGAGTGTCTTTGGGTAATATTAAACACACAGTGAGTGATCAAACCACCACCCAGCCTTTGCCCTGGCTCTGCCCCTGGCAGGAGTAACGCCCGTCATTAGGCTCACACGCTGGGCATGGCATGTCAAGTGAGGGTGCATGGAAAGGCAGCCATTTGTGGTCTACCACAGACTTGAGTGTTACAGCTTGTTGGACTCTAGCAATGATGGCTAATACAGAGTGTGTGTTGTGTGTGTGTGTGCATCTGTGAAACCTACCAATAGTGTTATGGTTGCAGCATGAAGGCAGGCCTGTAAGATAGAGTCCTTACAGAGCTCTGTATTCAGTACAATGTTGGACAATAGTATTCCTGAAAAACAAATCTCAAACTGAACCGGACTTTGTTTTTGCTCTTCCTAGCCTAACTGTGATAAAAGAACAATTTAATAACCCCTAACATGTAAAGATTATTGAATGGATTATGTTAAAAATACACTTTATACAAAAAAGTCAGATCAAACGAGGCATTTCCACTAATACATCAGAAGTACCATCACATATATGTAGCAAAAACATCTGTCCTTTTATAAACAGGAGCTAATTTGAGCATATACCTGCAGCTTCAGGCCCACACAGGCACCTACACACACAGTTACACACACTCGGTTATTAACTCTCTAATGCACATAAACACATGGACAACACTTATGATATAGCTAGATACTGGCCTGAGTCTGGGTTTGTCCACAGGGCTAAACATAGCAAGCTGCGACCCATCACCCCAGTTTCCTTCCTTATAATTACAGGAAATGAGTCCAGCCAATCAGAGCAAAGATATTTAGTGCATATTAACAAGCTCAATGGGAGCAGTATTTTCAGGCCGGACAGGTAATGAGCGGGTATGTGAGAGCAGAGGGGGGGAGGTTTTTGCCAGAAAGTTTGAAAGATGTTAGATATTGAAGAGCACTGCCTGAAAGC